TCAGCCAGGGAACCTTTCCCTAGTCAGTTCTGAGCCTCACTGACATTTTCAAGGCAAGGACCCTAAGGGAAAACAAGACTTTAAATCCCTGAAGAGACATGCTGTTGTATCTCCATTGAAACCCGAAGAAATGGCTTTGTAGAAGGTGTAGCAGCCTCTTGTAACGAAGCAGGCTGTAGGAGTGTCTTCCTGACTGTTTAGGAGAGCTGGGTCCCCTGGAAAGATAGGTTTCACAGTCTCACAGGAGGCTCCCTACGCAACCTAGAATAGACAGGCTCAAAATCTAATAGAGTTTTAGGTTATCAGCATGAGTTCTTTCCAATTGATCTGAGACCAAGGATGGTCCTTTTGTTTAATTTCATTTGTCTGGGATGGCTCTTTCCGAATCTTTCACCTACCAATAGATTTTTTTTTTAACATTTATAAAAGATAAGTGAGTAAAAAGGGGAGAAGGGAGACAGGGAAATATGAGCTCCTATTTTGTTTATTATGATTAGGTCAGTGCCCTCCAATTTTGGAATTCTTTCCCTCAGTCTGGGTGTTGGTTAAATCAATAGAGTTTCTAAGAATGTGCTGCCCTGCAAGCAAGGTCTGCATGGCTCCCAGGTGATCCATGGCAGTCTGGAGAAGCACTCTCCAGGAACTGCCTCGGTCTTGTATAAACAAACATTTGGAGGAATAAAGAGAATGAATGCAATGGCCAAAGCAGGGGCAAGGAGCAGATGATGCACAGTGTCAAGATGCCGGAGAACAAGATGAAAGGGTAGAAGATGGGGGAGAAACCAAGATGTCACTGCTAAAGCATGTGTGTATGTAACAGGATGTCATTTGGTAAGAATGGATAGTAAGGATACCCATTAAAAGATCAGTAATTAAACTGGTTAATTTTTGCATAAAATGGGACACAGAAAACTCCATTCATTATATCTAAGGGATCTACAAGCCTATACTACACCAGGTATAGTGTAGTATATTTAGGTAAACCTGAGGACACTGGGCAGACAAATTACAATCTCTCCCACCCTAGTGCACACTCTCTAATGCATGTGCACACAAACACACACACACACACACACACACACACACTTCCTCTTCCCAAACTGCAAATTGGAAAATAGACTTGTATAAAAAATGTATTTTTCCCACTGAATATTAAAGCTTATTTCCATAACACATTACAGTTAATGATTCTTGAAAGCAAACTTAGAATCAAATTTGACAATTACAAACTAAATTAGACAATTACACTAAAGCATTAGCTGAGTAAACTGTGAAACAGTTTCTTTAAAGCCATAGGATTCAATTCTCGGGCAAGGGAGCCAAGCATTCTTTTATTTCTCTAGTGTTTTGGAATGGAGACAGATCATTGGGTAGGTAAGACAAAAGACTGGAAATCCACGAGCATTTCAGTTTTCAGTCCAAGGCAGCTGTTGGGTGACATCACCCGGTGTGCAAACAGCCCTGCTTGGAGGGAATTAGCAGTCGAAAGGCTGGAGCACTTGACATGGGCGTGTAAATGTGCGTTCTCTGTCTCTTTGCATTCTCTTTAGAGATGGGCACAACTAAAAAGTGACACAGGACAGCATTTATACAGTGCAAAGGCACAAGAGGAGGTTCAAGACAGCGAAAGTGGTGGAGGAAGACAAGCATTTCAGGATTCAGATCATGTTGCCGCCCAAAGTCGGTCTCTAAGGAGACAGCTATTCAGCTCTCAGCTTTCTTCCAAGGAAGAAAGAGCTGGCTAGAGGCAAAGGAAATGCCAAGAAAATGCCAATTTCTGTCATACTAACATCTCTCTCAAGGCTGTGCCTGGACTTGGGGAGTACAAACCACCAGCCGTGGGGACCCGTGGGCCCTTGAAATTTGGTTCTTCAGAATGGCTGAGGGAACCCAGAGAGGACAGCACCACAGACACCCACTAATTAGAAAGCCTACTGACATCAGAGGCTCGGTTGCAGAGAGAAGCGAAGCCAACCTTTGCGTGGCCCCCAAGGTGAACTTGGAGAAATGAAACGCCTGGAACCAACCGTGTTTGGAAATGATTTTGCTAGAGACAGACGGCAATTGCTAGGGGGAAGGAGGGAAATGAGGGAGGCGGTCCAAAGTGGGGTCCTGTAAGTGAGAAGTCCCTGCGCGAGGGGGCAAAGGGAAGGAGGGATGTTCGGTACCAGGGCAACTGTCCTGTTTCAGACTAAACACCTTTCAAAGGCTACCTTCCTCCCAGGTGGCGGGCGGGCTAGCGTGGTTTAGGATAACCACTAATGTCTCCTGCAGCCTTAGTGTGCTCCTTTCTGCATTGATAATTTTCATAGGGGCAGCTTCCTGCAAAGTAAGTCATGAATGTAAGATGGCACTCTTTGGGGAGTTGTAAAGACAATCTAAGAACACGTCATTTCAGAGCTACAAACTTCACAGCCGGAGATCATTTCCATTGCATAATGTGCTTAGCCTGGAGCTGGTTTGTCTTCCTTCCTTCCTTCCTTCCTTCCTTCCTTTCTTTCTTTCTTTCTTTCTTTCTTTCTTTCTTTCTTTCTTTCTTCCTTCCTTCCTTCCTTCCTTCCTTCCTTCCTTCCTTTCTTTCCTTCTTCCTTTTATTTTTTCCACATCTACCCAGTTGAGTCATTATTTTACTTACCTCATTGGGGAAATCATTGTTTAAAAGCTGAATATAAATGATGAAATATTCTTCGATTTTTATCTTTTGCAGAATAATATCCTTCTTCCCTCACTTCCCGTCATAGAAGAGTTTGGCCCAAATGGGTGATGAATTGCTCCAAGTAGTTTGACAGTCCCAGAGGGAGGAATGAGAGTAAAAATAACTAGCTGATTACCAATTGGAAGCAAATTGGCCACTTGAGACCTCAGTGGTTAGAATGACAAACGAGGAAACGAAAATCCTCATCAGGGGACCAGACTTTCTGATTAGTCCAAGTGCTGATGACTGCTCCCCAAGCCTCTCCCTCCCTGCTGCGGGATGATTTACATCTGATTGGACATCATTTTGTATTTGGGGCAGTCATTTCTAAAAGGGTGTTTGGAAGACTTTGAAGTACTTAATTACAACCAGGAGGCATTTAGGGCCATGCAGTGAAATGGAAGCTACTCCACCACGTTAGACTCCTCTTGTGGAAAGTTCCATTACAGAAAGAGGCTGGTTGGTTTGACCTGAGTGATATTCACCCTATCAATCTGAAAGGCAACCTGTAGTGTGAGTAATTGGTCATAATAATAAAAAAATGATAGTGAAAGAAAATAGAAGCTAGAGGAGCATTCTCAGCTAAAGGCTCCATATTCAAGGCAGACGCTGTTTTCAGCCTGAGTGGGGACGGATTGGGCTTGTCCTTAGTAGTCAATGACTAAAACGTCTGATAGTCCGGGCTCGTTTGAAGAATGACCTTTTCTTTCTTCCTTCTTTTTATTTATTGATTGATTAATTGATTTTTAAAACAATTTATTAAACATCAACCCATCCACAAAACCTTTGACCTACAATCTGTCCTGCCTACAAAATATGCTAAGGCAACAGTGGCACAGAACTCGTGTGTGTAGCCAATCAATATCCGCTTTGACTTAGGCCCACACTCCGAGAAGGAACCCGTACCTGAAATTGCTAGAGTAATGAAGAACCAGAGGCTAGATAGCCCAATGACTCTATTTCCTTACATTCTGGTTACCATATTTTTTAAACCAGTCTTCATTTAAACTGACCCATCGAAAAGGTAGAGTCAATAGCAAGCCGTAAACCTGCTTGGTGGCACTTGAGTGACGGATGCAAGAAGAGAAAAACAGGATCAACCACTACTACCCCCCCCCCCCCCATGGACATGAGCTATAAGAATTGGGAAGAAGAAAATCGGCTGGGGATTTTAAGGTGGGCAATCAAAAGAGGATCCAGGGAGAAGTAATTGCGGCTTTGAAAAATGGATCAAACTATATTTCTGAAGGGGAACCATTTGAATAAGCAACAGTACTGATATATTTTTTTAGTTTTACATTGTGTGTGTTTGTATGGTGTGTATATATATGTATGGTATATGTGTGTCTGTGTGTGCGCATGTGTGCACACATGCAATGATACACAGGACACTATATATGTACGGAGCACAGAGGCCTCCATGTGTCCATCAGTTTGAGACAGAGTTCCTACTTTGAGACAGGGTCTCTCTTCAAACCTGGAGCAGGGCCAGTGGCCAGCAAACCCCAGCAATCCTCTTGTCATTGGTCACCCCCAGGGCTGTGGTTATAGGCATATGTAATCACACCCCACTTTCTATGTGAGCATCAGGGATATGGACTCAGGTTCTCATGCTTGTAATGATAAGCCCTACTACTATCCACCTGTCAATCTTCCCTGCCCAGCTGCACTGACTTAGAAAGAGCATGGAGTACAAATGAATGTCATGAGGAGAGTCACGTGGAGATCACAACTCTGTCAGGATGAAAATGCACACAAAGGTAGCGTGTAAACATGGACTTTCATTGCTGAAAAGGGATGTAGCATGTAAGCTTGGACTTTCATTGCTGAGAAGGGAATTAGGCTTCATCATAAAAGTACCCAAAAAATACTGAGTGTTCTGGGTAGAGCTAGGATCTTTCAGAAGGGTTTCACCTCATAGAAAGCACCAGAAGAATAGTATTCTGTGGGACTCTGCCAGCAGTGAAACCATTAGGTAAGATTTCTGTTTTGATGTTTGAGATTAGGGATAGAGAAGGGAAGAATGAGCCAGCATAGCGCCTGATGTATGTCAGCAGACGTGGTTCCAGGGTGCAGAAAGCTGGACCACACAGAACCTGAATGTGATTTCCTCGGGTTGCTGTATGATTCCCTGAGTGTAATCCAGCCCTTGTAAAAGGCAGCAATGAGTAATTTGAAAAGGACCAAATTCAGACTTACAGGAACATGGGTAGGCAACCTGGTGTTCTTTGGGCCTGTTTCCCCTCACCTGAGCAGGTTTTATGAATAAGTTTTATGGAAATTTTTATTTTTGTGTATTTTTCAGGGAGGAGAAGCTCCAGCATTCCTTCTGAAGATTCTCAAGGGAGCCTTTGTTCCAAGATGAGATGGGTACCAGTGAGTTATGTTCATTTAGTTCAGAAGAGGTAATTCTGAGATCCGGAGGAGGACCTCCAAACCTGGACTATCCGACACTACTGTGTTATTTCCTGACATTGCCTCCTTGAGGAAGCCTACAGCTATTCTGTTTGACAGAATGAGAAGACAAGGAACTCATTCCTGTCAATCCATCTTGGGATTCCTGGACAGCTTAAGAAGCGTCATTGATTGGATCTTTGGTGCTGAGGAGGAAATGGCCATCCACAGAGACAAACCACTGAACGGCACTTAGTGCTCATGCCAACCTGACATGGGCAGTGATGGTTCCTGACAGAGCCCTTTCTGGAAACTATCCCTTCACACACATAGCCCCTACTTCCTTCTTTAAGTAGCCACACAGAGGTGTGTCTGTTAGAAGATTGCAGGGGAGAATAACTAGATAGTGGCGGGGAAAGCCTTTGGGAAACTGATTTCTTCTGCTTTTCTGGTTATCCCTCTAGACAGGCAATATTTTTGTTGAATGGATACAATCAGTGGTTTCTTGGATTTGGAGGACATAAAATGATGTGACTTAGGCTCATTGGCACATTGATGTATGGCACAAATAATAAAAACCCAGAGACATATTGGGGTTCAAGCTGAAGATCAGGAAAGCAAAGCAGCTAACCACTAGGGAGACCTTTTACCTCTACCAAGTCTTTATATGGAAAAGTCGAAATCCTGTCTCCACAAATCCTCAGACTCCACACCACAGTGAGTTCCTGTCTCTTCTCCTTTATCTCCCTCTTTCTGCCCAGTCATGTCGCTCCTGTCTACTTTCCTAGTGCTGGGGATAAAAGTGTTAACCACCACCATTAACCACCACTGCCTGAATCCGTTTCTGGACCAGTCTTGTGTAACCCAGGGTGACCTTGAACTCACAGAGATCCACCTGCCTCTGTCTTCCAGAGTCCTGGGATTAAAGGTGTATGCCACCACTCCCTGGCTTCTATGGCTGACTAGTGTGGCTGTTTTGCCCTCTGATCTTCAGACAAGATTTATTTATTAAAACACAACTAACAAATCACTATATTGATGTGAGCAGTTTGAGATAATGCTGCTGTGGTTGATGCAGGACTCTTATTAATGCCTCTCTGCTTCCTGTATTGTGAATGACGTTCTAAGGAATAAAATCTTTACAATGAAATGAAATCTCAAGAAAAGGTTAGGACCTAGTAAAAACAAGTTGTGTTTTAAGAGTGTTTTCTATATTCAGCACTGTTGGCTTTCATTTGTACTTAGAGAAATGTGTTACACTTACCTGGTTCATAGTCTTCAGAAATAAGAATAGACATTATTCTTTAATATTAATAAGTTGCATACACAGAACTAAACACTTTGGGTGATAAAAGTTGACTATAAATGTCCATGAGTTTATTTTCTCTTTCTTAATAGTAACATCCTTGTTTAATTAAGAAAACACTAAAGATTTTTTTTAAACATTTAAAGATGTGATGAAGCATAGCAATGAGAGTTATTAGGGTTTCCTTTTCCCTCCATGCTCCCTCCACGTTACAATTGCTTCTAAGAAGTCACGATGCCCCTTACTTTCCACATCATGAACACCAAACTGAGAGTGGATTAAGGAGTAGGGAGATGGTTCAATTGGTAAAGTATTTGCAGAATAAACATGAGGACCTGGGTTCGATTTCCAGGACCCACATAAAAGAAGTCAGGAATTTTGGCATGCATCTGTAATCCCAGTGCTGAGTAGGTAGAGAGACGGCTGGATCCTGGGGCTGGCTGACCACCGGGTCTAATTTAATAGGTGAACCACAGATTCAAGTGCGAGTTCTGTCTCAAAAACCAAGGTTCAGAATGCCTTCTGAAGAGTTATACCTGTGGTTGAAATTCTGGCTTCCGCACATGTGCAAGCGCCTATACATATATACACACTCAAATAAACCTGTGAACCCATACCTCACTCCGTGCATTTAAGTAGTCCAATTTGGTTCGCTTCTAATGTCCTACCGGGAGCATTGTCAGTAGTGATTCTGTCTCTTTCATGGGCACCGAACTATCTGAGAGTTCTCTATACGGCATCAGCAGAGAAGCGGAACTTATGCATCGATAATTTCTTTCTTCTATTGATAGTAATAAGAAAAGCTGCCAACACCCCTCAGGGTCACCTTCCACTGAGTATCAGAATTCTTACTGTGCCCAGATGCCTAGACTTGAAGAGGAAATGAGATGTGTGAAATGAAACTCAAGCCCAGAGCAATAGCTTAATATGCTGGAGTTTATAAATAACGTAATGTTTGGCTCAGCCTCTCATGCTCCTATAACAGTGGGAAGGAACCAATAAATCGCCTTACACTGGCCCATGTCAAATTCATTCTTCATGAATGCAATTGCGAGTTGTCTGGGACCTTCGACTGTAACGCACGTCAGGGCTCTATGGTTTTCCAAACTACCAAATCTTTGCTCTCATCACTGCTTGTGTTCCAAGAGGAGCTGGCTCCATTCGTATTTATTGTGATAGTGATGTCCTATTCTAAACAATTACTATTTGCCATTACTGAAAACAATTCTGTATACAACAGCTCTTTTATTCCTTCCTCCTCTTCCCCCTCCTCCTTAAAGAAAGGAATTTGATTCTACTGTGGTTGATTAGGACTCGCCCTGGGATCAGATTCTTATTGCAGATAATGCCAGGGAGGAAGCATGGATACCACTCTGAAGGATATAAACCATAAACTCAGCTTATCTCTACTGAATTCTCATGGACCGCTGAGAATGAGAGGATCTGCCTGTTGATGGTTTTCCCAAATAAAAGCCACCCAAGGGCATAGACGTCATGCGTCAATGTCAGCAAACAATTGAAACGTCCAGGCAATAAGGAATCATTGCCATTTCCATGGTAAGAGAGTGGCCATGCATTTGCTTTCTCATAGAGCTAAGAGGGTTCTAACATCTGGAGTCATGGAATATTTGCAATGGCATCAAAACCACAACATGGTAGCATCTCTAGACTCTCCCTAATTGTCTCTTTCTACCTGTGGATCAAGTTCTTGCTGAAGGGGAATTACTCTTACAGGTCCCTTCGGGTCTCTCCGGGGCCTTCAAGGTCTCTGATAGGGTGATTGTGTTCTTTAATCCAATGCATGGACTCATAGAAGCAGGGCATTTCCCTCACTCATCAGTCACATCTTGTCAAGAGTGTGACTTTTCAAATCTAAACCCCAGGGAGCCAGCCAGTCGTTCACGAAGGAACAGATAGTTCAAGGACAGCTTGAATTCCTTCCATAAACTTGAAGTCTTGATAGTGTTCTCCAAAGATCCCAGCAGACTGCACATCTACAATCTTGAGGTTCCAAAAGTAGTCGTATAGACTGTGATGGCTGTTCTTGGTTGTCAACTTGACTCCATATGGAATTAACTAAAGCTTCTACATGGGGAACATCTGTGAGGGATTTTTTTTCCCTGAATATGAAGTGGAAAGAACCACTTCTAATCTGGATCTTCGAGGTGGGAAGAGACACCTCTAATCTGGCCCAAGCCTTCTGCTGGAAGCCTATATAAGGACACGAAAGAAGGAAGGTGCTGCTCTTTGCCCACTTGCTTTGTCTCTGTAGCAAGCCCATTCCTTCAGTGGCATTAGAGTCTACTTCTTTAGAATTCCAGTGTCTGCTAAAGACCAGCTGAGACATCCAGCCTGTGGACTGAACAACCACTGGATCCTTAGACATTGCATTCATAGGCAGCCATTGTTGAACCAGTGGGACCACAGCCTGTAAGCTGTTCTAATAAATCCCCTTTCTATATAAACAGGGATTCTTTCCATAAGTTCTGTACTTCTAGGAAACCCTGATAATTCAAACCCCTATGAGCATGAGAGAAGAAGGGATCTGAGGAGGGGGGTAGGGAACAGAGGGAGGATAAAACAGAAAGACACAGAGAAAGAAAATAGAAAGTTTTAGGTTCAGCTCTGCTTTGTTACCCCTCTGCTTGGAAAGTCACTATTCATGTCTATCGTTTCCTCATTTGTCAGACATGGGGTCAGTGCGCAAGCAGGGGCTGAAGGGTTCTTAGGTGTGCACTTTAGACTGTGGCCTAGAGAAAGGCCGTAGTATGGGTTTTCTTTGACAAAAATCTTTCCTCTTTATTCTACTTCTTAATTTGAGAATTCCCAGAGTCTCACCCCAAACTTTCTGTTCCTAGCCACCCCGTCTTCTTCCTGGGTGGTCTCCTCTTTTCTAGCTCTTCTTTCAAAGTCCCCTTTGTCTGATATTAATGCAGCTTGCTCAGGGCTGCTGTTTGCATGGTTTATCTTTCCCTTCCTACTGCTTTCAGCCTATTTGTATCTTTGGATCTAAAGTGTGTTTCCTTTATGCAGCGTATACTCAGGTCTTGTTTCATGTTTTAATACGGTCTGATAATCCCTGCCTTTTGACTGGATTGGGTAATTATTTGTAATTAAGGTTCAATTTACTTCTGCCACTTTGCTTTTGGCTTTCCATGCTTCAAATGTTGCCCATAGATTTTATCCCTCTTTTACTGTCTTTCATTACAAGGGATAGATATATTATAGTACAGCATTTTCATGTCTTTGATTTAAAAAAATTAAAATATGTTTTCGTTAATTTTTTGAGAATGTCATACATAAATCAATGTGTTTTAAATTATATTTACTGTCACTTCTACCTCCAATTCTTCCTGGGTCTATTTTCACTCTCCACTCTCATTCCCTCTCAACTTTAAATCTTCTTCCTCTTTTTTTTTTAAATAACAAATAGTAAGTCCAGTTTATACTATATAGTTTGGGTGTGGAACCATACCCTGCCTGTTTGTTTAACATATTAAGAGCCACACCCTTATCCAAATTGAACTCCTCCCTTCCCAGAAGCCATCAACCATCAATCATTCCTCTTTGAGGGGTGGGGACTCAGGACACGCTCGCTCTCCACATTGGAATACTGAGTGGCTTGCTCTTGTACAGATCTTATGCAGGCGAGCACTGGAGCTGTGGGTTTGTGAGTGCTCTGGTCTTATCATAGCCAGAAGACATTGTTTCCCTCCAGTCCTCCCCAACCTCTTGCCCTCACAGTTCTTCTGCTCCTTCTATCCAAAACGATCCTGAGCTTTGGAGGAGTAGGTTTGATACACGTGTCCCACTTCTGACTGAGTGCTCCACAGATCCGTGTTCTCCGCACTTTGTGAGTTTCTGCATTAACTGCTGTTTACTGCACAAAGAAACTTCTCCTATGAGATGTGAGAACTGCCCTAATCTAGGGGTATAGAGATGTCAGTTCACTACAAATCCATCTAGAAAATAATAGTGTTAAGTTCACCCATGGAGCCTGTCAACTTCCGAACTATGGGTTCTTGGCCAGATGTGTAACATCAGGCAGGTATCTCCTCTCTAGAGCAAGCCTTAAATCAGATCAGAAGGCAGTTGGCTAATGCCATAGTATTTGTGTCTCTATCGCACCCATCAACACTTCTTACCACACAGCTGTTGTAACTCCACGTGTTCACAGCTGAGTAAAATTGTTGATGACTTTTTCTCCCAACAGCTTGCACAGTGCCCTTCCAGGACTATGTGAGCTCACCAGTCCGGTGGAAGCTTCCTTTAGAATCAACTTCATTTCTCCATGTTCTGTGATCAAAGTTGTGGTGTCTTCAGCAATAAGGTCTTAATATCAAGTTCTGCGGG